AAAACGCTACGAATTAATTCCAACACCTAATAGAATATAGGTAACATAAAAAAAGTACTAATTACACAATAGTTTTAGAAATAATGTATTTTTTTCCTTTAAGAAAACAGTTCGATCTGGTAGCAAAAATTCGGCAAATATTCCGAAAATATTCTTGCCCATAAAAACACTCAAAAATCTCTGCTATTCGGAATCGGCATTAAAACTATAGGTCTCATATGCTTATGGCAATTGAATAATCAGCATGCGCATCACAAGCATAGAGAAAGGTGTAACACAGGTCAGGTATAACGTGAGAGGAAGAAGAAGAAGAAAAGAAAGAAGGAGAAAACAGCGGAAATATTTAAAAGAGTCCCGTTAGCATATATCTCTAGATAGCACATATTTACTCACGTCGGCTGGAGAGGGGGAGGGGGGGCTTAGTAATTTTTTATTGCTTTACCAATAAGAATATTTTATTTTAAATTGGTCAATTAGTGACTTGAAGCGCTATCGGATACTTCTTAAATATCAATTTACATTACTTACCATGAATGTGATGATGAATTCCAGGTTTGTGAAGGCCATGACTAATTTTATGACCTCTGTGAAGCCTGCTACCCAATCCAGAATGATGGCCTAAAAGTCCACCAGCGTGATGTCCAATCAAAAGACTACTCAATGCATCTAATCCAAATGGGTCCTTTTGATGATGTCTAACAGTTCTCTTCAATTGCTGCTGCAGTAACCGCTGATTTTGAATTTCTTCTTTTCGCTTTCTTTTCTGCTCTTTTAGAGCCAAAATCCGTTCTCTCCTCTCTTGACGAGCTTGAATATTATCCGGAATTTGTTGCCCCTGCTCCCTTGTAGTTTTTATAAATGTGCCAACAGCTTGTAAAGTTGAGACAGGGATCTGTAAATAATTTTGTTCATTATGGAAAATAATTAAATACATTTTAAATATACATAAGTGTAAGAAATTTTACATATACGACCTGAACAATACTGTCAATTCTCTGTTTGTTCCCTGGCGAAATAGTTTGAACGGCTGAAGCGGTTTGTCTAATCGCTGTGATTGGAATCTGTAAGATAAAAATTCTATAATTTTTAAAACAAAATTAATTTATTAACAACAAATATTCCTTTCTTTCTTCATTTTTAAAGTTTATCAGAATGCTTTTAAAATAAAGAGATTTTGATATTTTACTATTTAATGATTGATATAATAATTGATTGTATAATAATTGATTAATTGAGAAATCGATATATATATTTCTTGAATAGAAAAGCCTTACTATAGCGCTTACATTGAAGATACTGTCTATCAGCTGACCACTTTGTGCTGGTAAATTTTGGCGTCGCACTCTGCTCTTTGACATGCCCTGAAATACATGCAAAACGTTAATCGTTCTTACGTGACAACGTGAAAATATTTCTGATAAGTTATTCTTCGAGTTTCTGTTTATAAAGTACAACTATGTAGCAGACTGCAAGAAATTTCTTCCATGAGATATTATGTGTGATAAGTACAACCCACGCTTAAACCCATCAGAGTGCTTATAGATAGATCGCTACACGTACTAATGCGGGTCCACAATATTTATCGCAACTTTCACTTTTTACAAATTAAGAAAATATTGAATAATCTTCATCAATTATTGGAAAGATTAATTCACGCTACCGCGATCCTTCTCACTCAATCTTAAGAGTGAAATAAATTTTATAATAATCTCTATTAAAGAACTACACAAAAAACCTTTTTGTAAAGCGACATTTTAGCTTTAAATTTTGAAAATAAGTAAAAATTCAAAAAATAATTAAAATAAGACTATAATATAATATAATAGCATTAGTTCACAAGATTTTTGCAAAAGCGTATAAAGACTGTTTCTGAGATAATTTTGACGTTGAGCCATCAAAATATTTGTCATCGAACTATTCCATTAAATCCGATTTTTAAGAGTATATAAAAAAGACATTTATTTCTGACATATAACGCAGTTTTATTAAAATTAGAAAATAAATTAGAAATGCTGAGTGTTTAATTTATATTTTTTATGTAACTTTATGTAACTTTAAATTGATTTTACGTGTTAGAGTTCAGCAATAATCACTTAGCATGTTTTTATCACACTACTCTTCATGCGCGCGCATACACACACACACACACACACACACACACACACACACACACACACATACACATACACACACATATTTTTTAATTATTATAATATATCAAATCTTAATGAAAACGATCGCCTTGCTTATCAGAAGTGCTACATCTTAAAAATTGACATACTACATTTTAAATATTCGATCATATGGAATTTTTCTGGTGACGGTTTTGAATTCAGCGTCCCAAAATACTTTTACAAACGTTATTTTCTTTCTTTGTATTATATAAAAATTGTTAAAATTTGTAAATTAGTATAATATAATATCAGAAACAATAATTCTTAAAATAGTAAAAATGATATTAGCATTTTAATGATTATTGAAGCATTATTACATCGAGAATTAAAATTACATTTGTAAAATTTAGAGTCAGAGATATAAAAAAAGATATAATTAAGCTTGTCATCTCTAATCTTTCAAACTGCATGACTTAAATTTAAAACTTTTGGAATGTTAATTTTCTTTTCCTTTATTTATAGAATTTTTAATTAAAACAACTTACCCCATGCATGTTGCTTAATAGAAGAAGAAAGGTCAGAAAGTTGTAGCACCAAAACATCTTTTCGAAGTAGATTGCGTGTAAGGCTGGCTTCTACGAGTTTTAACTCAAGTCGACACAGGTACGATTGAATCATGGATCTGCTTCGTCGATCTATAAGGGTTGCCGCTAGATCCCACACAAATCGTCGACCAATCCGGCTTAAGGATTTGCAGATTCGCATTGGTTTCTTTGGACGAAGAAGGTGCTTTCTACTTACTGCAATCATGTCACATCAGTTGCGAGCTCTGGATCCTCTTTCACACTGACCAATCATTCGAATAAATTATCCGCTCCTTTCTTTTATCTCTCACTTACGAAATTTAGACGTGGGTTAAGTGCCAAAAATGATTGTGTAAGTCGACATATACCGGAAATATAAAATGAATGTTAACCTATGATGAAATCGCCCGCAGAGTTAGAGCATAATTTCGGCTATTCAACGTTGTAATTTAAGGAACAGATTAATTTAAAAAGTATCTTGAAATGATGAAATCGAAAATAGTAGGAACTATGTCATCATTATTACTTTAGCACATTTATAAAGGATTCATTTGATTTAAACGATAATGTAACAAAGAAATGAAGAAATATTAAGTGTGCATTTTATCTACGTATTATTATATATCTAATAAATGCATTTACAACTATGCAATGAATTTTAATGAATGGAGATATAACTATTTTTTTGCTTAAATCTATTTCTTCTATTTAAAAATTGAGCTATTGTATAAAATATTCAACAAAATGCAAATATGTTATTAAAAATATAAATATCATTATTAGAAATTTTCAAACAAAATCTTTAGCTAAATTATAGATCAGCTTGTTAAATGGATTACTATGTTGTATTCAATTTGAAACTTTTTGATTTTGAGATGTTTATTTTATTTATTCAATTCTTCTTCGTGATGTTATCTTTGTTGCTTTTAAAAAGCGTTTGGGTTGTCTTGTAGGAAACCGCCTACTTGATTCCCAAGATTCTTTTGAAACTCCTTTACAGTTATGTCTGATTGCTGAAAGATCAAATAATTTATTGTAATACCATTATTAAACAACAATTCAATATACATATAGTAAATATATTTAAAGAAAAATTAGCAAAAATAAGAGAATATAATAAAAACTTACATTCAGAGCCTCCTGCCATTCGATATTGAAAAGTCTCACTAAACCACGCAAATTTCTTCTAATCAAATTTTGCAGATTGGTTGGTGTGAGTCTGAAAGGTGCTTGTGTGGTCGAGGTCGTCGTTGTCGTCGTTGTGTTAACGCCTACCATGTCGCTGGACGTATTATTCTGTTTATTCATTGGTGCAACTGTTGTTGTATTGGCGATTGTCAATGAATGATGACTTTTGACTAATTTGTTTAATCGCCGATCGCGTATCGTTAAACGTCTGAAATAAAATGTCATTAATCGACCAAAGAGAAACTTCCACTTTCTCTTTCAGCTTAAAGCTCGATGGAAAAAAAATGTTTCTTCTTCCAATAAGAAAAAATCGAATTAATCTCTTTAGACCCTGTTTACATTGTAATGTATATCAAATTTAAATATATATATATTATCCGCTGAAATTATTTAATCTACATCTGAGAGATTTGATGTACATAATAATAATAATGTATATGTCGGAAAAATAGTCAAATTTTGAAACACATTAATTTTTTTGAATTATTTATTAAAGTACGAATGAATTAAATTTTATGAAATAATTTTTTTAACATATTTCCAATAAAATCAAATCTCAAAGGAGTTAACATTTGTTGAAAATATTTGTATTTGGAATATTCTATAGATATTTCAATAAATTGACAGATAATTGTAACTATGTCTACTATTATAGAATTTTATCATATACATAATAAAAAATAGTAATATTCTCTCCTCCTCTCTCGAATATATAATATTTAAAAAAAGATATATACATATATATGTATATAATATTGAAAAAGCTTTTTTTTAAATGTTACATATTTTTTTACATAAAAAAACTTTTTTTTAAGAGAAGCCGAATTGGTAAAATATTAATATTACTAATTTATTCTTTTTTAAATATTATGTCATGTTCGAGAAACATTACTATCAAAACGTATTAAAATTCGTACCTCGAAAGCAAGCCTCGCCAAGGTCCAAAAGAATCCGGGCCGCTGCTTACGAACTTGCCTGACAACCCTTTTTGTCTCTTCAGAGATGTTCATTTCCGCAATGATTTCGTCTTCAATGGTGTTCTTCATCTCGATGTCATTCTTGTCGGTATCTTCGGATAATACTTTGTCTAGCAAGTTCATTTTCTTCATTATTTCTTCGTCAATTTCTCGAATCTTTTTACGCTCCAATCGTGCAGCGTTTTCCTTTTTTTCATTTCTAACAAATTGAGAATCATACAGTCTGTAGATTTCTTCTAACATCTCATATTCTGACATGAATCTTGCTATATTTTTCTTCACGTTGTCTTCAGAGTAGCGATCTTTAATAAGTGTCCCAGGTTGCATCAAATTATGCTTAGGATGGTAAACGTTGTATTGTGGACGTTTTGGAACATTGGACCGGAATTGTTCTTCCGAAGGAACTGATTCTGGCTGTATTGATCGAAATTGATAATGCGCAGGATCATTGATTTTGTAAGAGTCTGATTTTTCGGCTCTGCTACAAAATGAACTGATCAAATAAAGAAACAAGCAGTTGGCTGCAAAGGAATTGATTGATGACATATACATCTGCAAAAAAAATATTTACAGAATTAAGAATATGTGTCATAGAAGATTAATAAAAAAACACATTTTTAAAATAACTAAGGTATATTTAAATTTGTAAAAAGAAACCTTTAAAAGAATATGTGGAAATTTATTAAAATATCTTTAAGAATAGATAATAGTTGTATTATTCAATGACATTGAATAATATAATAATATAATATCTTTTGAACTTTAATACACTATAAAAAAATAAGATATTACGTATAAGTATTATGTATATTACGTATAAAGAATGTCTCATAACACAATAGTTCATAAAATTACATTTCATAGGGCCAAAGAAATATCATGCAGTGAGAGTTGAACGATGACTGCACGAAAAAGATTTAGCAATTATTACGTAAGTCGACTGTCATCATTTAGTGAAATAAGGAAAGTATTTGTCAAAATAAAACCGCAACAGAAAAATTGCCGATTGCAGTTTGAGGAACAAAACACGTAGATATTATGATCCATCACTTAGTAAATTAATTACATATTGCGATATTTTTTGAAGAGGCATAATTCGATTTAAAAAAAATTAAAAATTTTTTTTATTTCTAAATAAGGATTTTATTTGATTTTCACACTTTATTAAATAACTTATTAAATTAAAATAATCTATGCCTTTAAGCAATAAGTATATATTTGTTGACTTACATTGACAGCAACTTACATTGATAGCTTTTAAATCCAGATACACGTTCTAAAACATTTCTTCTCTTTAAGCCCACATACATTTCTTCAAAAATTATTCAATCACTTAGCGTGCTATCTTCTTCAACACTTATAAACACACTGTTTTATAATGCATCTTGAAGCGATATTAATTTCAAATCTTTACGCAAGAGAGTCTTGATTCCGAAACCTTTTCCGCTGGGAAGTTTATGCGTCACTCATGGTTTGCGGTAACAAAACGGCAGTTTCTATCGTTCCTTCACGCACGATCGTTCGGGAAATTGTTTCCCTTCGACCAAACACGGCGATTGCAGTGTATGACTGTTGCTCGATGGCCCACGTCACTGATCGAGTCTGACTATCGGCCAATGCCAGCGATTCGTTCCCGGTCATTCGAAGATTTCGACTATCCATTTCGATCTCTTCACAGTACGTGACGCGAACGTGTAACGCGTGAATTAGTGGTATAAACTTAATCGTGCATGTTACAAAATAACAGAGTCTAATGAATAACTGATGTTCCAAAATTTGAACTCCTTGCGTTTCACTTTATAGAATTATAGACGACGCTTTAACAGTAAGAAGTTGCTAAATATAAAATATTTGCAAACTATTATAGCTAGTTAATTATTTTAGATAACTAATATTCCGGTTCACTCAGAAGAAAATTTCTTGCGAGTCATACAATTACATAATGTTTAATATTAGTGATTATTGAATAATATTAGTCAAGAGTTTTTTAGTGACTGATTACGTCGCGGTAATTTCTGAGTTGATCGTACTGTAGCAGCCTGAACTGCACATGCCATGCACAAGCCCACGTAAAGTCGTAAGACTTTCTACTTCCATGAAGTATAATATATCGAGCGAAGATTTCTATCGATTGCGAAAATGCGGGCATACGTGAAACGATTTAAGTGGAGCACTTGAATCGTGCTTAAATGGACATCTACAATCGAGTTTTAACAAACTCCGCACTAGTTTTAGATGCAAATTTCACCTCCTTTGCATTATATATGATATTCTACGAAAAAACAAAGTATAGAAACTAAAAAACACAGTTTTTATCAAAAAAAATGGCAAAATTTTAAAATTAATGGTATTTCACAATAATCTTAATTTTCCATAATCTTAATTTTTTACTAATATTCTAAGCTATAATATCAAACTTTTACCAATATTCTAAGTTATATATAATAAAAGTAAGTTATAATAAAAATATCAAACTTTAAACTATAATATTATTAAACTTTATCAAACAAAAACTTTTATTAAAATAAAATTTATCAAAAAATTATAAAATTAAGAAAATTAACCAAAAAAATATAATTTTGTTTTTATCTTCGTGAAGCTTATTTACAAAAAATGAGTCTAAAGTTATTTATATATAAACACTTTTATCAATGAAAAAACCATTGCAAATTTATTATAAAATTTGTAATTAAAATTAAAATTGTTACAGAATATTCTATTAACACTGATTCGATCAGTTTTTTTTGTCATCAACTTCCATTTTTTTTTAGCACATGTTTAATTCATAAAATTAAATATATTTATTTTTTATCACAGTTACACAACAATAAGACACTAATTTTCACGATAAATGATTATTGGCCTCGGCATCCTTTCCGGAGATCAGCAACCGCGGTACTTAACCGTCCTTGCCTTCGAAAATCTGCCTGAGGTTCAGATCCACGTGGACTACAGTGCGAAACGACTTCCATCTTTCACTTTCACTCTTCGTAATCACATACGTAATCGGTTCCGTTATATGCGCCAGTATACTTTTTTTGTAATAGTATGAATTTAGGTAAAGATCATAGCAATCATTGTCATGACAATAACTTTTTTTTTTTATGACTTCTTCTATAAGGATTAATTATCAAAATTATTGAATAATTTAACGTTATGTCAAATATCTTGAGATAAAAAAAAATATATTTATCAAATTAGTTAAAACATTTAAAAAAAATTATTAAGCTCTTTTAGCAAAATACGCAAATAAAAAATAGCACACGCCTTACAATCACAGCAATTTTATATTTAATCCGGTTTCGTTGGAATGTCAAATTTTCGTAACACGCTCTGACTACTAAGGTCACTTACTGTTAATTACGTTGTTGTGAAAGGTATACGTACAAAAGACAAATTTGTTTACGTTGAAAAGTAATTGAAAAGTTAGTTTGCTATTTAAATTATTATATAAAAATTTAATGATACTAATGAATTCTTGTATAAAATTTTCTTTTGCATAGCATAGAGGAAAAATATTGCAAGAGTCGCGAAAACAATGTTACTTACATTTAACAATTAATAAAATATACCGTTCAATGTAATAAGAAAATAGTAGTATTGTATTTACCATCATCTTATCTTGCAAATTTATTCAATGTGACACAAAATTTAGTTTGAAAACATATAGACATAAAGTTTGATGTGGTTCATATATGTACGTAAAATACACTTTTTTTGTATTCGCTTATATACTTGTCTTATATAAGATGTCAATATCGACTTATCTGGTGTCTATGTATGTCAATACTTATCTATCGCTTTACATGTTTATGCACGTTTCTACTTCTCGTATTTACTGTCTACATTTAGAGCAATTTTGGTCTAACGTAAAATAAGACAAAGCGAACATTGGATAAGCAATTGTTCGCTGTTGAATTATTTCTATTTCCTTGTTATATACTTAATAATTAAATAATTATTTATAATATAAAAACATTTTCTTAAGAATCCTTATTATATATTGAGTTCTTATTGTATATTGAGTGTTGTTTCAAAATCACAACACAAAATTATAAATTTAAAATTAGATAAGGGTAAAGAGTAGCGAGCCACTGACCGTAGCGGAAGAAAATAACCTCGGAAGATAAATATCGCAGCTATAATTGTAACTACTGATTACACGCACGCGAGATGTGCGAAGGTATCGTTATATATCTTGATGAATTGCTACATTGTAAGTCACGGTTACATGTAAGCTGCGCCTACATGGTAAAGACCTCTCTACAAAGACAAGGCTTTGACCGAACGTTCGTTATAACTATGGCTTACAATTGTATTATATTAAAGATTGTAATTATAATAGACAACAGGATTTTAAAAAATGTTTTACATAATACAAGATATAAATGTAATTACATTTAAAAAAAGATTTTAATTGAAATTTGAAATTGAAACAATTGTATCTTAAAAAATATTTAGTCTTCTATAAAGATGATAAGTAATTTTATCAATTTTAGAATTAACTTTAACTCAATCAATTTTAAATGACTTTATTTATGAATTAAAAAAAAAATTCATTAATTTTTTATTTGTAAATTTTTCACTCTGAATCTTTACTTTATATACATGTGTACTATAAAAAAATATCTTGAATTCTAATTTAAAAGTCACATATACTTCAGTATTTAGTGCAAAAATAAAATATAAGCAAACATCATTTATCGTTAACATAACTGTTAGTTATAACTTCCCATTCAACAATATAGAGGAAAATCATCGATACTGACATATCATTTTGTTTTTAGACAATATTTTTTAAACAAAAGGTAAAAATAAAAGTTTAGAAATATAAGTACAAACTAAAAAATGTCTTCCATTACATAGTAAAAGCAGTTTTTATAATATTATTGTTTTAATTTTGTAGTAATTAATTTTTTCATAAGATAAACAAAAATGAGCGTTTGACAAAATGGGCTCCAAAACTGACACAATGGACAGTAATGCTACATATTCCTATTTTTTTTTTTTTTTATCAAAATTATCTGTATAAAAGATCTACAAGTGAATGTATAAAATATTCCAGAATCTTTTCTTCACTTCTTTATAAAGCATTTTTATTGGATTATATGCATATTTACTTCATGTTATTCTGCAAGTTGCAAATATGTATGCGATAGTTTTTCAAGAATTTTTATATGCACGATTGTTTTCAGCTTCAATAGAGCTATTTGACAAAGCAACATTATAAAAATTAAGTTAACTCATGATCTGTTTTATAGACAAGTTTACGCATCTCAATTTTAAATCTAAAATTGTATAATTAAAAAACTAAAAGAAAAAACAATATAAGTGAAACTAATTTAGAAAATTACAAGCATTTAAAATGACGTAATATTATCAATAATATAGTCACTATTATATGAACTAAGCAATTTGCAAAAGAAAATCGTAAGAATTTTATTTTCGCATTCGTAAAATTTGTTTTTAGCTGATTTAGCTGATATAGAAACAAACCACAAATACCTACACGAATTATGAGTTTTTACTTTCTTAATTAGTTAAAGATCATGATTTTATTAGTATTAATAAAGTGCAATAATTAGTTCCTGAGAAAGAAGGGGGTGTCACTTTAGGAAACCTATGTCAGTATCAGTGACTTTCTTCTACTATTATATAATATAGCATATATGTTATATTGTAATTGTAATGTTATATTACAGTTATATTGTTGAGTGGCAAATTATGATTAACAATTATGTTAATGTTATTTGTTGGAATATATTAATATAAGTAGAAAAATAAGCTGGTAAGTGAGAAACATACAAATAAGAGAAAGAATTGTATATTCAGTTGAAGCGGGTCTTAACATAATAATGTACATAAGGTAGAGAATGGGACTTTTTCATCCATTTTTCGAGATAATGTTTATGTTTCTGAACAGCACATATTAATTATTTAAAGGCTATGCTTGTACTTTCAAGGAGTAATCGCGATTGTATAATTATGTAATTATAAGCATGCACGACAATGCAAAGAAATATTGTTTGCTGTAAATTTTCGTATTACTTTTTAAAGTTGAAACTGAACAGTCCTGCTCTATCCTTATACGTAAAGTTTTAAATATACTTTGAGTTTTATACCGCGCGCCAATTCGGTTAATTGAACTTGGAATGTCCGAATCACATAAATGTATTGAAGTAGAAAGAATACTTAATCATCAATCTAATAATGATACTAATGAATGCATATAATACAATATATGTAATACATACTTATATGTATAATATATAGTTAAATCTACCTTACCTTCCTATTGGGCAGATATTTTTGTTAAGAGATTATTTCTTTTGTGCTATATTATTATTTTAATTGTATCACTGATATATGATTGTATGATATGATTGTATCACGGGTTCTTTCGCATTATCTATCGCGTTGATATATATAAGCACAGTAAATGAACTGAAAACAAGTGCATCTTGCAGGACGGCAGAGCTAGCACTAACGAGAGATGATTTCTCTCCGTCTCACCATCTCGAATCGGCCTCGAAGGTCGTCAGCATTTTTACGATACTTCTTACGTATTCTCTGTATAAACAGAACAAGTTGACAAAATTCTTCTTAGCCGGTTCCGCTATTATGCGGACACAATACCGCAGAGACTTTTCGATACAAGAAATGATATGCGTTTTTAATGTCGTTATTTTGATAGATAATTGTCATGATTACGTAATTATAATACAATTAAATATTGTATCTGTAATTATTCAATTATTAATGTTTATTACTGTTTTTTAAATGTCTTTATAATATCGTAAATATAAATCAGCAATGCTTCATTGCTAAATTAAAAAATAATATTATTTTATAATAAAATAAATATTTATATTTATTTGTTTTATACTTTAATTTTGCTAAAATTATATTATAAGTACTATTTTTATTATTTAAAAAAGCATTTATGTATGAAAATGCAAAAAGAAATGAAGATTTTGGGAAATTCAGATTTGTGACTAATTTTATTTTTACTAGTTTGGTTTTTATTAGTTTAACACAGCATTTGCATGTGTGAAATATGTAATATATACGATTTTCGTATAGCACGTGTAAATCGATTATTTATTTAAATGGATGACTTGTTTAAATGCGTCATATTATTGTCGCTTGTATTATAGAATCCTTGACTATTTTTATCTTACGTTCCTCACAGTACGTGTCGCAATTTTTTCTCGAACTTTGCACATACGATTTATTTTTGCATAATGTTACACGTCTCTCATTAATTTTTCTTTTCAAAAGTATAATGCAACAGGCCACCGATCCTAGAATTACGTAAAATGTTTCTGCTTCCAATCTGATGTCGACACATACAATATAATGTGTAGGTATAAAGATCTAAAGCTAAATGATCATCAAATGCGAGCTTTCTTCTGATTTATTATTTTATTAATGAGTACTAATAATTAATTTTTTAATGCAACACAACATAATGAAATACAAGTAATATTTTAATTAACATTATATTCAGACTGTATCTTAAATAATGTTCACTAATCATATGCTATTCCTAATAAAAAAACTGATTGTAAGTCAAAAAGTTCTCTACAACATTTTGGAATTTCGCAATAATCGCAATAATCGCAATAATTAACAAGATATTAATTTCTAAAGATTGCCGAATAAACGGATGAAATCAATGCATAAAACAATTTTAAGATATCTTTTAATATTCTTTGTGAAATATATTGAAGGTGTTTTTATATAATTCTTAAAGATATCTTAAAATTGTCTTACACACATTCTACAATAAGTTCATTATTTAAGCTTTAAGTCTTAAGAAATTGATCAAAGTTGAATATGAGAAGAATAATCGACTATGATTGGTCAATTTATTATTTAATTATTGGTCGATTTAAGATTTAAGACTTAAGTAATTACTTATTGTAGAAGGCCTATATATTATGCGTTGATTTTAGATATTTTGCTTTGGATAACTAAAAAAAGGATATTGCAAAATGGTAGACTTTTCAACTCAGTTCTTTATCAGGAACAGCACTATATGATTAATGAGTTATTTAAGATATATCCTATATATAATTTAATCTAAAAAAATAAATTTTTTATTTTCTCGATAATAGATAGAGTGTTTATTATTTAACACATATGAGGAATTCACGTGTTGTAAAACGTTACATCTGCTTCAGGTGTCCTCATTATGTGAACGGCAAAATGTTACATGGTCGAGTTCTAGATATGACATCCTGACCACTTGGTCTTGTATAATACGCGCTGTTTTATCTAGATAATAAATCTTTAAGTAACATCACATGCAATACATGTTATTGACGCAAAAATTTTTATGCAATCTACTTATTGTGTAACAAACTAGTATTGATGAATAAGAAATTGTTATCTCATCGTACAATAACTTCCAGGTAACATATCATAAAATAAAAAGTCTGCATGATAATATTTTTTTATTTATGTGAATTACATATTATGGCAGTATTAATAAATAAAATTTATAACAAAAAAATTTTAAACAAAGTTTTAAGTTTTATATACAAAAAATTCTAAAGATCTTTTTACATTTGTTTACATAAGCTAAAGTAAATTAATTTTTTTAGATGTAAATTTATTTGATTGATGCTCTTTTTTTCTTTATTTTATTATATATTATATCACGCAAATTAATTAAAATTTGACTAAATTGTTCTTAAAGTAACATTATTATCTACATGTTTCTACACGTACATTATATAAATATCTATTTCATAATAATATACGCTTTCAATTGTTAAAAACGTATTTATCTCTGATTTACGACGCCAATTTTCGAGTCATTTTAAAAAATAATAAAGCAGGAAATATTATATATCTATATATAACAAGTGTAAAAATAATGAATATGAGGCAAAAATGTGGCGTCATAAATAACAATTATTTAATAACAACAGCGAAGAAATTTCTGCAAATATTACGGTTTTATCCCCGATAGGACATTCAAGAAATTATATGATGAAATACATAAAATTTGTAATCTGCAATTATTTACAAAAACTGATGTAGAAATCTTGATCTTTTTTTTAAATATTAATAATTGTTTGCTTAATTAATTTTGACATAGTATTATTAAAAGAATAACTATATGACGAATGTCTTAGTGGAATTACTAAATTAAATAAAAAGAAATTATCCAATAAAATTGAAAAAAATTATTTTAACTGTGTTTAAAAATATAATTGTGCTCATAAAAATGCATAATTATTCCTAAATCATAATGTAAAAATATTGCAACATAAAGTATTATACATTCAGTAAATTAAATTTGAAATTTTTAAATCAAACGGCTTTTGGGATGCATATGAACCAATCTTTCAAGAGTGTTCTTTACATATTTGGAAATAATTAGATAATATGTCTTGATCTGCTTCTTCAATATGCTGCCAGCTGTCTCATTCATTGTATTTTTGAAAAAAATTGAATTATAAAATATTTACATCACAAATTGAATTTGTTTAATTTTTAACAAGTATCATTTAGAAATTTTATTTTTACAAAACTATTGTTATAATATTATAAATTTTAACGCACTTATTGCGAAATTTGTTATTCATGCCATAATTATGCAATATTTTCACAATTTGTCTATCGAGGTATCTTAACTAAATCTAGGATCTAAGACCTTCTATGATCAAGAAAACTTTGGAATAGTTTTCACAAACTCTGATCAACAATATATCTATCTAAGAAACATGACCGGAAATTGTGGAACAATTTCTCAATAAGAAACGATGATCATTGAGCAATTAATTCGTAGCACTAATACGAAATAAAAATCGGTCTTTTTATTTGTGGTTATCCGATGGTAAACCCTTTATGGCAAAACTACCGATTTCCAGCAACGTCTGCGTCCGACGGGCTGAGTTCTGAAAAATATAAGATCATTAAAGACAACTGTATGGAGATTGATAGTTTTGTCTCTATAGAGAAATTGCTTCTGGTTTTTTATAGCAAATATAGCGAAGTGAATAAAGAGTGATTCAAACGTAAACCTAATCGATTAAGTTGTACTAGAAAAAATGTTACATCATAATAACGGAAAAGGAATATATAATTAAACTCGCGCGTCAGCGGAAAACAATCATTAAGGTTGTATATTTTATTAGTATGCGTTGCTTTAATAGTGATATATGTGCATTGTACTTACTAGAATTACGCTGTTGAGAACTTTGCTAACGTTAGTAATTAAAGTGAAGCCAGTGCCGAATGCACTTGAGGGTATTTCCAAGGACACCCTAGTTCTGTCAAACTCGGGTGTATCCTCCGTAGTAGTAATTCCTTTCTGCAAATACATATAGTCAGATTTTTCTGTTGTTTTATGCTATATCGTATTATTTATTAGAATAGAAATGATAGAGTATCACATGGAAAAATGTAGAAGTGAAAGTAAATTCTATTTGTAAAGATAATTAAGTTTTTTACGGTCGTTTTTATTTGGAATTCCAACGAATATAAAGAAAAAATAAACGTGAATTGTCAGTGCTATGATTTCATATATATTTATTGAATTTATAGTTTCATAATTAAGTTTAGATTCATAATTTTAAAATATTTGTTAAGATATAAATAAAATAAAATTTATAATTATACATACTTTATTTTATATATTTACAAAACTGTTTTTTACAGAAAAGTACTATATAGTGCGAATAATATTTTAAAAACCCCAACTAATAAAAAGTTTTAATTTAATTCTTTATTTTAATTACGAGATTAATATTCAATTAATAATTTAAAAAAACGTAGATTAAAAGATATCAAAATAAATGTATATAAATCCTAAAATATAATAAAGATATGAAGGAAGGGATACATTAGGAACTTCACGATACTCTAAAATTCACTTCATATAGTAGACAAAAATATTATATTATACGTTTTATTTGACATCAACATTATATCACACCATCTTTTATATTAATTTTTCTCTACGTATCAAGGAGCATTTGAATGTACTATTTACATCGCTTACACATAGCTAATACGAGTTTATCGCGCCCTTAAAGGCTACTCTTAAATTATTTACAACTTTCACGGTGACAAATCGATTGACGCCGCTAGTTCTTCTATAATTTATATTAGACATAGCGCAGTCCACACGATTCGGCCGGAAGTGTTGATTCATCAGGAGAAGAGTTTCCTGGAGAATTTTTTCTCTCTCTTTCCTTAATTTTTATTTGAATTCTTTAAATACGAATATTTTATGAAAGAGAAGGGCTTCTGAAGAGAGAAAGGAGGTTCTGCCAATTATCAGCCCAGCTAAAAACAGAAATTCACATTCCGTGTTATATGGAATACCAATGTATTCCACTGAAAGTGAAATCGCCCACATATTCCATCGAAAATCCATTGACTGTCCGTCCCATTTTCTCGTGGTATGTTTAACGTTCGTTTGTTGTCTGTCGCTTTTCTTTCTCCAAAGAGGTTTCTTCTCTCACGCAATGCTGCTCGTTGGTCCAGGTGTTAATGTTCGCAGTCAAACGTTCCCTTTCCGCATCCCGTGTTATCGCACCTGCCTTTAAGCCGCTTAATACGCCGCTTGTGGTGGTGTATAATCGTACTGTTTGTGTACAATACTTGTTTTAATGGCGCATATGATTTATCGGAAGGCTTCGTTCTCGTGAAGGCGCCTTCCAAGTTAAAAGGGATATATCTTGGCAATATCGATTAGTCGTATAGCCAAAGGTTTAATGAAGCGTATCGATGGGATTGGCAAAGCAAGTTTTTTATTTAATTATATTGCTTATATATAATGATAGCATTTCAAGGAACAGAGAAAGGTATCAAAGTAATAGTAGAATATAGAAATAGCATGCTTTTAATATTATAATAACTGTATTCAGAAAACAAAATAACTCAGTGAGCGCTCAGTGATTTAATGTGTGTGTGATTGGTTCTTACTTTTAATTCTTCGTTGGATCTAAGTGTAATAAAATTCAATCGTAATAAAAATTACTAAGCGCTCATTAAACTGCTTTGTCTGTTAAATGCAATTAAATTTAATTGCATATAAATTGCATATAAATTTAATTGTTATATAAAAACTGAAGCTTTATCACACAAAATTAGCAATTTTATTAAATGTATTATTTTTCTAATAAAATGAAAAATTAATAACTAAGATATATTAAAGAAAATAAGCAATAGTGACTAAATGAATGAATGAAGAAAATGCAAATGAATGAATAAATATATAAAAAAAAAGACTGATAAAAATAGTTAAAGATTCTTATATAGTATAGTGCTAATTAAAATATGAATATTTTAAAAAAGCATTTACTAAAAGCTTATTTGATTATGATATGGCACTGAATTATTATCAATGCAAATAGCGATAGCCTTACATGCAACGTCGCCATCAGTCACCCTCGTCCGAGTTTGTTAAGTGAAAAGTGTTCACCGATCAATTTCTAGGAAAAAAACTGTCACGTTATCCATATTTTTGAAGTAATACACGTATACCGCTTTCTTACGAAGACACATATTCCAGCAGAGACAGCGTTACGTATCACAGAATAGAACAGGCGACATGTAAAGGGACTCCAAAGTATAAAAAAGAAATAGTTCATAGAAATAAAAATAAAATTAACTCATTGTGACCCTACCCCTGCCAGGTTGGCGAAGGCTCCGAGATTGATCCCAGCGCCAGCGCTCGTACCGCCATTGCTTCCGCTATGAGAGTCGCTTCCGGAGCTCCCATCACTGCTACCGCCGCTTAAACTGCCTAAACCGCCGCTACCTTGGCTCAGACTCGACAAAGAACCTATCTTTTGAGTCAAGAGATTGCCAAGTATGGCCGATCCGGAAGCTCCTGCGCTACCACCTGCATGTCCTACATTTTATAGGCGAAATCATTAAAAATAAATGCTATCTTAAAAGTGTGATGTATACATATCAAAAGTTAAATATTAATTGCGCGAAACGTCTTACAAATAATTTCTTCTCACCAGAAATATGATCACAGGATTTTTCTTTTATTGGATTTAAAATTTTTTTACCCATATGTGAAAAATATCTGCTTAAAAACTGATGGAATAAACAAATTGGAAAGTATCTCACAATTTCACGCACCTGCACCATCAGTTCCATCCGAACCACCAGAAAGACCGCCAGAAAGCGAGCTTAATGGTGCGATTTTCGAGACCAAAGCCTTCGAGATGCCAGCCGAAGCTCCTGAGAATAATGTCGTCACGCTGTTTATGAGGGGTCCAATGCTGCCCGATGCAGCTTTAAATTTCTGAGACATTAATTTGTTGAGGAACTCTGATGTAGCCGAATGTTTATTGTCGATTCCAAAAATAACGTTTTCCGCTTTGTTAGTTTCATCAATAATTGAGAGCGCTTTTGTTTTTGAATCTATGAAGGAATCCACTTTCTACAAAAATATATACTTGTTAAAGAAATTAATAGTAACAATTTATTATTTGTATCTACATTACGTATGAAGATTTTTAAAGTAGTAATAATAAAAACAAGTGTTCAGAATTTAGAATAGATGTCAGATTTTTTTGTAATGTTAAAGTATGATAATAGATTAAAAAATTACATCATTTAATAATTAATATCAATTATAAAAATCAATATTAAGACTTTTTTAAGCTAGTTTTATAGCAAGCTATTTTTATAAACTTATATCTACTTTTTTGATAATTTTTTATATTAACATTTATTTTTTAATATACGTTTATTTTCAGAAAATCAAGTTGTAATTTACAAAGTTTTTATTAAAAATTTTTATTAATTATAATGTATTTATAATATTAATATCGTTATTAATAGTGCATTCCAATATTTACTGCCAATATTGAAAATTTATAGTTTACATTACATATAAGTATGTATACTATAGATTTCCAGTATTGGCACTATTGGAATGCAGTCTAATATATGAAGTATAAAACATTTTTCAATATTTAATTTAAATTCTTGAAATATTTCTTCAATTAAAAATAATGCAATCTATTGAATAGTTATAAAGATAATAAGAAATTAACGATAAAAATAATGGAATTTGTTTTACTATTACAGATAAAATTAGTTTTACTATTACAGATAAAAAAAGCAATAATCGTTATCGCGATAAAGTAACAAAAAGCGTTAGAAGTAACGCATTACTTCCTGAAGATACATTACATTTGAAGTACGATTTTAATTACATATTTATTTATATTAATTATTATGTCACAAGATGTATCTTCACAAGATGTTTTGACATGTAAATATATGTAAGAGCAGTAGAAATTTTTTTTTACAAAAAAATTAATTAATTATTCTTACGTCAAATACAAAATTAATGATGCCATTTGATACTCCAAGTCCGATGCCAATCTTTCTCTTATCCCTATCGCTCCTTTCGCCATCGGTCACATCATCAGCTTCGATTACGTAGACCTATGCAGACCGTAAAATTAAGCTACTTTTAGATTATTAATTAAAAGAGATAGTATGATGTAACAAATTCAAGCTAAAATTCATAATCAAGAGAAAAAAGAAATGATGATGAAACGCATTATTACAGGAAGAAGTTTCCTTCATTTAGGCTTTATCAAATGCGTTTTTATTTATTAGTCAAGTATTATTACGTATTTCAGTATATACTATTAAGATAACTTGTTTTATAAATATTTATATTACAATGTCTGGCAGAGAAAATGGAAAATTATTACAACGCATTTCGCGCAATATTTATGTAGTTTTCTAAATTGTAATTTCGTATGTGCATGCAACCCCATTATGCAATGCTGCTTTCGTTCTAGACTCGAGGTCGATCTGTGTTGCGGATAATCCTCAAGAATCATATTGCGATTACATTAATGCGTGATCACGAATTGCGATAACGATGATGATGTACAACATTACATATTCGTTAATCGATGCACGTGGCACGTTTCAAAGAATTTCGTTACAAGCGTTCATCCGTCTCTAGCGTGTTCAAACTCGTACAAGTAGCGCCGACTACTTTCACTCTCGACTCGTTCTCCGGGATCATGTTTCTCACTTTTTCGTATATCTCTTGTCCTCTCTCTCTTTTCTCTCTTTTTCTCTCATTTCTGTATCACTTACAACGGATTTAGCTAACGTAATGCTTTCAGTTATGTTATGAGATAACTTCCTTTAGTCTTCATTTTAACTCTTTCTACAACGACGAATGATCTTTTTTCTTATGAAGCTCATATTTACTCAACCAATTTTTTATTAAATATTAAAATATAAATAATATGTAAATATGAAGATAAGAACAAATTAAATATAAACGTATAAATATACAGTTCTCTGTTCCAAAATTAAATATAGTTTCTTGTTATAAAAAAAAAGAAAGCCGTGGCATAAAATGAAAAGTATACTTTCCCCTGAATTAATCTATAAAATAAATATTCATATAAGCTATAAGATTTGGTACTGACCCAAATACTTTTCCTATCGATTGCATACTTCGTAATCAATTAAAATGACATTATCGAATAGACAATTTTTTCAAGGTTTACTTTTACTCTCGTTGCTAAAAGTTAAACTTGTTTTTTTGTTTCTCCAGTAATATGTTTCATTCTACATCAAGTGAAGGTATGCACAGCGTATTTAATCGATGCGTTACGCTTATAGAAAGGAAAAGAAGGACGCAACATCACAACCGTCAAATTCTCGTCCATTTAATTTCGGAAAGTACGTCACTCATATTGATAGTTTAATTATGTTTTTCGTGTCTTGACTTCTTAAAAATCACTAAGAAAATACTGTAGCATCGTAAAACTCCACTTTCGACATAAGAGATCGACAATAGCTTTCTGCAAGTACTTCAGCATTCAAATCGCCTCAATAGCGATCGCAGCTTTCCTTCTATTTCATTCTTTTACTTTCTAAATAAGATTTGAAGTACAATTCGTCCTTTTGATATCTTTCCTGATATACACACGACTAGAAATTAGAGAACATTTAATATCTTAATATGTAACATTTTGGTCGTTTCAGTATTTTAAATGAGACACTGAGAAAAATTTCTGATTGAAAATGAACGAATCAGAAGATTCTAATCACATCAGAAATCTGATTATCTCAATTAAAATTATAATAGATTTAATCAGAAAATTCTGATTTGTTCATTTTCAATCAAAATTTCAATTAACATAATCTTTGAAAATTTTTTTTCTAGTGAAAGACTAACATAAGTAACTTACTTCGTTCAGCGGATTGAGATCTTCTTCCGCATCTTTTTTATCAATAGGATTGCAATTGACAATGGTGATGATCAGAAATAATCCACAGAATGCACATAACATCCGCATTGTGTCTTCTTCACTTGGTAGATTGGTTGCAATTTAATCTGCATGAATAAAAAAAGCTGTCTGACAAGGCGGCAGGATTCCCGGTAGTACACGTAATAAAATCGAAAGTAAATCTTGACTGTTCAAGTGAAAGGGTGTCTGAGCGAGCTTGGAAGCATTTAAACATTGATTTTTAGCTAGATTTTTGTAACTACTTATCAATTAATTACTGATAACATTTCTATGAAATGAAGAAAATAAAATGCGGACAAATCGTGTTATGTAAATGTAATGTATGCATTGAAATTTTATGAAACTTTGATAAACATTTCCTTAAAAACCCATTCCAAGCATTAACAACAACTACTAGAAAAGATTTATGTTTTGTAATACCACAGAAAGAAATTAAAAGAAATAAAGTGATCTTTTTTGAGAAATTATGAGAAAAAGAATTGTTTATTTATAAAAATGTTTAATAATAAACATTGACAGTTGTCATTTAATTGATTGTTAGAGATTGTTATCGATGTAAAATAATTGATCAAGTACACTGCAATTTCAAAGAAATTGGCTTGTTAGTAATAAGCAGTTTTCAATCAGACTGTCAAATTACAAAATGATTGGTCGAGTAATAAGATGTAATTGATAAGAACAGATAAGTAATTAGCTTGTAAAATAATCGCTTAAGTACGTAATAAAAAAGAAAATAATGTGAGTAAAATTGTAGGAGAAAGAGAACAATGCTTAACACGTGTTTATACCAGTTTGTTGAAATCAAACAGATTCCGTCCAATAGAATAGGAAAATCAATAAGATCTTAGCGAGTGCATCAGTCACGTGGCAGTCAAAGCAGAACGTACGTGAAGGGATTACGTGGACTTACGAGTGCCGGTGCAGCGAGTGCGTACGAGCGACCAAATGCGTGAGTTGTGTACCTGGCGGAGTGCGAGGCTCGTTTGAGGACCACGGTGAAGGAGGTCCCGATGTCTTACGGAGCCGAAGGGGAAACGAAGGCGAGCATGTGTGCCCCTTCGAGAATCGAGAATCGTTCACTGCGCGAGCCTCGCCTTCCGCAGGTGGGGCGCCCTCCAATTCACTCTATTCGCGAAATCCGCTCAGCAGCCAACATCATCTACAATGCTCGCCAATGAGACACCCTCCTCCTTCTGTCGTCCTCGCTTGGCTAACACTTCAGCTTGTGAAGCGCTGAATTATACAGTTGCAAGATCATAAATTACCTTAGACACTACTTATGTCTGACAAAAGTCAAAATCCGATTCGAAAGAGTCGTTTTTAGATACAATCATCGTACACAATGTAAAAGATTTCATGTAAAATTACAACAATTATAATGAATAATTTTTTAACTCATTACTAAAGGTATATTTACACACGTAAGAAAAGTTACAAATAAAATCATTCTTCTTTAAAGTGATTAAATAATTTATAAAAAAGTTAATTTACACAATAAAATTATGTTTATAAAAATATTTAAATAATAATTTGCCAACAAATTTATGTGCAGTTTTTTTAAGCTATTATTGATATGTATGAACATAAAAGCGCAAATATAATGTCTTATGTTATCTACCATTATGTTATATAATATTACAAAAATGTATACATTTATATTAAAAATACTTACTATAAAATATTATATTATTATAAATTATTGAATTATTAAATTTTATATTACTATAAAATAGACTATGTTGTTATATATAGTAATATCTTCCATTTAAAAATATATTTACAGAGATAAAAGTATTAATGTTCGTAAAAACGCACAATTTTATATATTTTCATTATAAATATTGTGTAATTTTTACACATTATTTACGTAATTTTACACATTCTTTTTACAGTGCAGGATTGTAAGGCTTGATGAGTCAGTTTCAAAGTCAATCCATTTTTGGGTTCATTTCTTTTGTTATGACAATAGTAATCAATAATTTAATGGCCAATCTTACAATAAGCATTACTCTCATGCATAAACAACAATAAAATCTGAAAAAGTAGAAATGATATTATTGATTTTTTTTATATCATCTTTTTTTCAAAGTAATAAAAGAAGAGATATAGCATTAAGTAATATAGGAACTAACTTTTAGTTATGTAGTTCAACGTATACAACAAGTGCTATGTAACTCAATAGAATGCGTATTCAATAACACACAATTTAAGATAATAGCTACATCAAAAAGAGCTAAATCACCTTTAGTATTAGAACTCTCAGTTGTGTGAATATCTAAGAAAATTTGCATATATATAATATGCACAAATATTAATATTTTTACTGCGTAATTTTAAAGCTTCATAATTTATGTTCAAACTTTCTCAAGCCATTATCTTACATATGAAATTGGAGAATATAGTTTACGTAAGAAATAGTTTCTTCAAATTAGGCCATTTAGCTTCGTTATTTTGCATATTGCAAAAATATCCTTGACACATCATTCTAGAAATTGCGAATAAAAGAGATGATGCATTACAATATTTATATTATGTTGTAATCTTTGACAATCTGTCAACAAAAAGTTGGGAGACTGTAACAATTACTTAAGAAAATCTTACTTTAACATCGTATTAATTATTTCAATCTTTTTAATCGCTAGTTAATTATCGCGCGTTATACGCATTAGATTTTGTTCGTAATTATCATGCTCACTGGTTTGATCTCAAGAGTTAACTAAAATAAACTCTCCTTTTGCCTTGACCAAAATTTAAAAGGCAGCGTTTCAATTTGAAATGCACTTTTAGAAACGCAACATGTAGTAATTGATTAAAATTAATCATCAGATGACCCTCATGTTTCTTGTGGATATTTTCCCTTTTGGAGCGAACGGGAAAAAATATAAATTTATTCATATTGCGCACATACATAATTCGCAGAAATAATCCTTATAAGTTAATTGACGCTTAATTGGAAAAAATAAAAACTTTTAAATTAAATTTAAATATCTTAATAAAATTTACAGTTATATATTTAAATTTAATTGTTTCCGACACTTCATATTTAAATATAGATAGATTGACAAAGTTTTCATATCTTGATATATTTTTGCTATTTTCTGAGTGCAATAAACAGCCATTCCAAATAATCAGAATTTTCAAGAAAATTTTATGAAAAAACGAATTTGTCGAGAAACATCAAGTACTCTTAACATCAAGTACTCTCAAGAATTTGGATAATGCACCTTTGGAATATATTTAGAATTGTATTTATAAATATAAAAACAGCGATAATCTATTCTAAACACACTGTATCGATTAGCCATTACTTTTTTAGGACAATTGCTCAATGAATTCCTTTCGCCATTTAAATCGCCATTTATATCCACTATATGATGATGAAATCAGATCGTCAAAAATGGACTAGAACACTATAGTTTTTCGCAATTGAACATCGTGATTCAAACAACTATCTAACAGTACATAATCTAACTTTAAAGGACAAGATTGCCATTAAAAATTTGTATTAGATTAAGTTAATAAAATTGTTTAGTAAGTAAAATACACGAATATTAATATAGTCGATACTAATCGAGAGAAAAGCATTAAATCATTTTTCCATTAGAATATTTTATTTGAGAATCCGAGAGTATTCGATTGAAATCAATTATTTTGGATGTACGATGGAGCTTTATTAGCTGCCTAAGTAGTAAGACTATTCTGTGGTCAGACTGTCCAGCTGTCGTGAAGTGGCGCCACGCGGCGAACACACGTTCAGACGAATACGGCATCTCAACCGCAACCGAAGAAACATCGAGTGACTTTCCAATGGAAGAGAGAGTAACGCACCTCGATAATCCTGCAGGAGAAAAGTAAAAAGGGGAGCAGAAAATCCGACGCGTTATTCACATGAGGTCCGGCTTACATAAAAAGATACATATGTACTCATTCTCTAAAAATAGAATCGAAATCTTGTGGGAAGCGCTGCCAATGGGTGTAATAATGGATTGTGTCATATTCGCGAATCTTCTTTCTTCGAAATTTTATTTTTAGATTTTTTCCTAACGCACTGTGCCACAATTTCTTAAGAAAAAGTTCAAACGAGGGCAATTGCCAAGAAGTAAAAGGAGATAATATAGCAATATCCTTGTATACGTAATTGTTTTTTGTACGTAATTAATCTATAAGATCCAGGATACGATTATGAGAGTGTCAGATACGTGTTAAATATTGCATCGAACGTTCTAGTGGTGTCGCATACGAATGAGAAAAAGTTACTTGCGCCATACGCGCACTTTCAACAACAATGTACATATTTCAAAAGCAATGCTAATATATTGTAACTATTTATCTATACATTTATTGAATGTACTTAACTTTGTGATCATTCTCTGCGCTTTACTGGCAGAAGAGTGCAACAATTTCAAGTTGTTCTAAGAATAACCTACTTACAATTATGATTATGAGTTACGAAAACACAAAACTCAAATGCACTTGGATGTCAACTTTCACGATATCTTTCTTGTCACGTTTGTCAAGCTTCTTTTTAATTAAGTATAAATTTACAATATTATATTTCTCGCAATAAATATGTCAAGACGTTAAATTCCGTGTTTGATTAATTCAGCTCACCTAATTTTTCTTGTAATTTAATCGAGAAATTTAACCGACCAGCAATGTGTAATTTTCATTTATTTTATATAAATCAACAAGAATAATTTACATTCATTTAATTAACTAATTAACGAAAGTTGTTATCAATTAAAATTGAGATCAATTAAAATATATAAATAAAACATTTCTTGCAAAATTGAATTTAAATGCTCATCACAAGGATGACATAGATTTCATCAATAATACTGTTTATAAAAATAAAAATGTTTAGGACTCAGCATTTATTACTCAGCATTTAGCACCATTATTGTCACAGAGGCACAACGAGCTGTCTAATTAATTTTACAGATTACTTTCCTTGCAGTAATTGTTTATTGATTCATTTCGCTTTACGTCTCCGCAATTCCACGTACCTTCGTCTCTCAAAGTCACTTTCTTCTCGCAGACAGCAATTTTCGATTCTGTCGGTCCAAAACCGCAAAATGCACTCCTGAAGAAATTGTCGCAATAGTTCACTGGTGACGTGCACCACTCGATGGTGTCACTTGTGATCGCTCCAAGCGATCGTTCACTCGCGCAATCGCGACCTTTACCACGAACGTCCTCTCGATCATCGATCGCAATACGAAGGTGGGCGAAGTGGACGTCTCGTGGGAGAAATTCCCGAAACGAAATTAATAAAGAATCCGTTATTCGCGACGCAACCGATCAATCGGGACTTTGATACACGGCTGCGACTATCCGTCGGAACGAAGGCGAGGAGCAGTCATGCGTTCGCCGTTCGCGAAGAAAGTTGCAATGGGGAAATTGGCCGCACGAAACGAACGCGTCACCGAGGCGACGCGAATGACGATGACGAGGTGGGCGAGGAGATTTACGACTAGACGATTTCTGCGTCGCATGACACGCGCGTATGACAGGCCTGTCAGACGTTGACAGATCGATGATAGGATTGCTGGATCAATTGGCTCATCGACCGGAAGTAAAGATGCGACGCGAGGTAGCGATTATCCGAGCGATTTCCCATACGACAATCTTGTATCTCTGGTACTTCTGGTACCTCTGGTACCTCTGGTATGTAGGTACGTTTCTTAGAAATAATGACGAAGCGGATATTCTTCGGGAATACCGAATGAAAGTACAAGGAAAAACAACTTTCCTGAAACATTTAAAAACGTAGCCACATACAAAACGTAATTTTGTTGAATAATAATTGGAATTTCTAGCATGATGAGTAATGTTACAAAATATTTTGATATTGTAACAATCAGTTTAAGCGTTCTATATAATTATTTTCAGACTTGTATCTCGCTAAATATTTTAAATACTTCAGCGAAACCATTTTTTTCTATGCATATTGTGACATATTTTATTTGTAATTTATTCTCGAATAATTTATTTGT